TCTTCTCAATATCAAGACCAGGAAAATAGTTCAACAAGTAGTTTGTAATGGTTATATGCCCTGTAGAAGGATAAAACAAGGGAGAGAAGAGTTAACTCTAATATTTTTCTGTAGTGATAAGAATCACTCTGAGGTTTAGACTGCTTGAAACTTTTAATTGACCACTACCAGCTACCAAATATGCAAGCCATGGCTACTTAATACTATGTCATTCTCACATCCCTTTTCACACGCTGCAGTCATTAGCATTTACTCTTAAAGTGTCTTGATGGTCTGACAGGAGCATGGGAACAGGAGCCTGGAATTCCTGGGTTCTAATCCCAGCTCTGACATTGACTCTGAATATGGCTTTCCCCTCTATAAAAACTGATGTACATAACACTCCCACCTCGGGGGTTGTTGTGGGGAATAGCTAAGGACCATATTGTGGCATGTCATAGTAAGTGGGGCTACTATGTGTCCCCCAGTTCATATTGGTGGGAAGGGATAGGGAATGGGTGGAGCTGTGTGGTTCCACCACCTCCAATGTGTCGGCCAGCATAGCGGCACTACAGGATGTAGGCTGTGCCAGTTATAGGGCTGGAATGGGGGAAGCCAAAACACAGAATGCATCAGGGGCTACTATTAGGGCAGTGCAAAGACATCCTGCCCCATACACAGGGCTTGTGGAAAAACCAAACTCACCCCTAAAACCCTTTGAAAATGGAAGGTCTGATGCAAGTGTGAAGTTCTTAATTGTACACACATATTTTTAAAGAACTGGACAAGATACTGCCATGGAGATAGGCAGACAGCTGGGTCCTTTTCTCTAAAACCATGGAGTTTGATTAATGTCTGGTTGCACTAGGCAGTCAGAGCTGAAAATCTCAACAGAACTTTGGGTGAGTTGATATTAGACAAAGGGATTATTTGTGTTCTTTTTTTTGCTCTTTTTTGCCATTTCTTTCCTTGCCTGGCTGTGGAGAGGCATTAGGCCACTTATTACCAATAGGCCAGTGGGGCTGCTTTACTGGCTTCACAGTAAAATCAATGTGACTGATGTTCTGCTGTCAAGTTTTACTCTCCAAAAATGGCCATTGCTGCCTTTCATTTCCTTTGGTTTGTGTGCCAGTGTCACTGGTGTCAGCAGGGATATGCAGAGCACTGGAAGACTATCACTGGCTAAAATAATAAGTGTTAAGGAGCTAACAGCCTGAAGACCAATTAAAACATCAAGCCTTTATAACTGGACTAACAGAAAATGACAAACATCTAGTGCCATTATGACTTATTCAAAACAGTTTTCCCTTCACTTGTCATTTATTTTATGATGGTTTGATAGTTTGTATAATAATGCAGTCTGTCAGGCAGCTGGAACAATCACAACTTAACTACTGTGAGCTGTAAAAAATGTTCTGTCATCTCACTCGGCAGTCCAGTTGGATATTCTGCAATGCATGGCTGTCAAGTATATCCAGAAATGTTACTGAAGCAGATTTTAATTCAGACAGAGCAATTTTTAAAATAAATTTGTTGCAGCACATCTGGTGCAGTTTTCATCAGCAGTTGTTTGCACCAACACAATCCTACACTTCTTCTGGAAGGCAGGAAAAGCGAATATTTTGCCAGTTAAATGATTTTAGATGTATCTGTAGTCATAGTGTTAACGATGTTTTCAGTCTCACCCTTCTCTGAGATTTGCCAAATCCCACCAATCTATTTGTTTAGCTGGAAACTTCCTTGAAACTCAAGCAATTTCATAGACAACCTAAAACAGGAGTTTAAACTGTGCAAGAATCAAAGAAATGGAAGCCCAAATGCATAGTGGCCCTGCACCTAAGTGTCATCACTTAGTTCAGTACAAAATGAGTGCAAACTAGGTGAAAAAAAATTCCAAATTAGAGTGGCAACGATTTACACTCACTTTCAACTGGGCCCATAACATGAACAAATGCCCCAATTCTGCTCATGTTGCACTCAATGGCAAAACTCCTATTGACTTCAATGGGAGCAGAATCAAGTCACAAATAAGACAATGAAGACAATTAACACTAATGGAATTGCTGTGCAAAGAAGGTTTGCAGGACTGGCCCCAGAATGCTCACTTCCTCTTGATGGGTAAGTATCCCTCTGCCTAGCCTGAAGGCCTCAATGTAGCAGAAATACTTCTTTTCAACCAGGGATGTCTAGAGAACATCAGAATAGTGAGGACATTTAAAACATCAGCATTATATACAAATAAATGATTTTTTTAAAAAAATCTCTATGTTAATTACAGTTAAAGATGCTCTTCTTTATGTTACCAAAGATATAACTACAGATTGGGCTATTTGACACAGATTGGGAGTGGGGTGGAGGAAATCATAGTCAAAGCTCCCCAGAGAATTGGATCTAACTTCAAGTGAAGACAAAAAAATTGCAGCAAAGTAACAAAAAAAATTAAGCAGAGCTGTGTGGAACTCAGCTGTTCAATATCACAGGGATTCATGCAAACCTCTTCAATTTCAATCCACTGGGGTTTATGTACCCTGAGGTTTGCTTCAAATTTCGGGTTCAAAGAAACACAAACTCAAAATAAAACAGTCATAAATGCCAAATTTCACCTTATTTTGAGTTCAACCTGTCATATGGTTTTGATACAAAGCCATGAATTTGGTCCAGGTTCTCTTGAAACATTCACCAGTGTTTCAGTGAACCTAGGTGAACGCTAGAGTTTGTACCTAACCTGAAATCAGGTGCGTATTGTGTGATTTCAGGTTTGCTACAAAAGCTTCATGAAGCGCTAAGAAGAAGTTACCATGGTTATATTTGAATTGCATGCTATCGCTAACTATTAATGACAGATGTAAAGTCTGATCCATAGTGGCAGTAACCTTGGGCTGCTATACATACAGTAGTTTAGTGGGAGTGGGAGACAGTCACAGCACTTAGAAAGTGTGAAAGGGGATTGCGAATGAGGAAGTATGGCACTAGGAAGCTGCAGAATGGGGGGAAAATATTTTCCAACATCAAAGAGTTTGTTGGTCTGTATGCTTGGTGTACCTCCTACCAAGAATACTGTGCTCAGCATATGGTATGCAGTTCTTTGTCCTGCGTGGGGGAAGGGGCATGTGGTGTCACGAGTCCCCCTCCCCTGATTTCTGCCAAGGTGGGAGTCTGGCTGAGTGGGACATGTCAGGGAAAGGCACCAGCACCAGCTTCTGTACCAGATGACTGGTGGAAAGCTAATATGACACCATTTTTTAAAAGGCTCCAGAAGTGATCCCAACAATTACAGGCTGGTAAGCCTGACTTCTGTACCAGACAATCTGTTTGAAACTATAGTAAAGAGCAGAATTCTCAGACACGTAGATGAACGATCTGGAAAAAGGGGTAAACAGTGAGGTGACAAAATTTGCAGATTATACAAAATTACTCAAAATAGTTAAGTCCAAAGCAGACTGCGAAGAATTACAAGGGGATCTCACAAAACTGGGTGACTGGGAAAGAAAATGGCAGATGAAATTCAATGTTGATAAATGCAAAGAAATGCACATTGGAAAACATAATCCCAACTATACATATAAAGTGATGGGGTCTAAATTGGCTGTTACCACTCAAGTAAGAGATCTTGGAGTCATTGTGGATAGTTCTCTGAAAACATCCACTCAATGTGCAGCGGCAGTCAAAAAAGCTAACAGAATGTTGGGAATCTTTAAGAGAGGGATATATAATAAGATAGAGAATATCATATTGCCTCTATATAAATCTATGTGTGATGCTCAGCACCCAGCACCCCCATGTTCATCCTTGTAAAATGATTGTGTGGTATCCAATGCAAAGTTTGTCATGTCGGGTGTCTTCAGAAGGCTCATGATGCACTGAACATTGTTGTTACAGTAATGTTATAGGTTATAATTTCACGTATGTAATTATGAGGCTGACAATGTATCCTCATGGCTTAAAATAAGCCCAGGCAAAAACTCTCCAAGAGCAGAGAGGCAGTTCACACCTCATTGGGGCAGGTATAGGACAAACCCAGCTCAGCCTCACAGGAACAAAGGCCGCTGGCCTGGGCAGCAACAAAAGAATCTATTGGACTCTCCAAGGAGTCACCCCCACTTCCTTTGATCAATTTGGAACTGCGATGAGGTAATTCTCACCTGACTCTGAAGGGAGGGGGGCAAAGCCAAGAGGGAAGAAAGGACATGATAAAAGGGAGAGACGTTTGCCATGCTCTTCCTCTCTCATCCACCTACATCTACAGACACCACACCA